GGCAGGCGCCCCCGCCACCCGCCGCTGTTCCGCGCATCCCCTGCAAGGGGGTCCCGGAGGGGCTGCTGCGGCGGGGGGGGGGGTGCGCCCGCCCGCGTTTATCGCCGTGCGCCGACAGGGCCCCGCTGCGCGGGCGCGGAGGCGGAGGGAAATGCTGGGGGTCGGAGCTGCGCTGGGCAAGGGCGGGTGGTTGAAGAGAGGGGATGCGCTTTGTGCGCAGCGCGGTGGGGGTGTCTGCTCAGGTAACAGCGTGGAATTAACGCGCGTGTTGATTACCACGCACAGCCCGGCGGAGGGATGAGCCGGCCGGTTCCCGGTGGCTGGGGAGCCGCGTCCACTGGCCAGCGCAGGAGGCTGCAGAGGGTAAAAGGCGGCTGGTGAAGCTGTGGGGGCTTCTCGGCCCCGCTCGCCGTGCTGGCTGCCCGGGCAGCGTACCGTCAAGGAAGAGAAGCGCTCCGTGCCGACAAGGGCGTGCGGGAACACGTTCAGCGGGAGGGAAGGTTCGCCTCCCGAAAGCTCAGCCGGAGTCGACTCCAAAGCATTTCTCGCAGCCGACAGAACTGGGGGTGTGGAAAAGATCAACTGCAAGGGCTGCAGTTAAATAAGCCTGAGCGCTAGTAATCCTCAGCTTAAGAGGGAGAGGGGGAAAAAATCTGCTGCGGTGCTAAATCTGCGTGTTCTTAAGACATTTTAACCGGTGGGGGCCGCGGCCCGATTCACACAGAAAACCTTGAACCAGCGCTTGCAGTGCCCCGTACCGCTGCGGATTTGTCCCGAAGCTTCGTCCCGGGACGAGCCCTCTGAAACACGCTCTTGCTGCATGTGCGAGCCGAACTGCAGGTTCCGGTTCTCACCCGCACGTGTGCGAATTGCGTTATTAATGACCGTGCCCTTAAATCCCCCTGACGAGGTTTATGGTCAATCGTGAGGTGTTTCAGCAGCGCACAGGTGAATGTGTCGGCATTGCCGCTCTGTGAGAGCTCTTGTACGCAAACCTGCTGCATTTCAGTTAGAAACTTGCATCGCTATGCTGCTCAGTAAAACCACGGGGGAAAAAAAATAATAATAATAGTAATAATAATAAAAAAAAATTCCCGGGTTCGAGAGCTCCGCGTTTTCCCACGTCTAGCAGAAGAGGCTCAGCGCTGCCACCTCGCGTCCCTTTCCGCGTCCCCGGCCTTACAAAGCCCGCAGGAAATAGAATGAAGTTTCGAGGCTTTTTAAGTTGTAAAACGCGGAGAAATCTTGCCAATGCTCTTAAAACTGCGTTTTAGGTGGAAGCTGAATGCTCACGCTTTACACCTAGGCTTAAAAATTTGGGGAGCTGGAAAGCGCTTGCAGTCCAGCGTTGGAGGATTAGGAGTGGAAGCAATTAACTTCAAAGAAACAGCCAAGAAATTGTAATATAATGCTTTTACAGAGTTTCACATCGTCTTTTTACAATTGCTTTATTAAGCAGTTCTAAATTGTGCTTTTGTAAAGTTTTCATTCAGGAAATAACGCTCTTCTGTCCATCTCACATGCACACTTTTTGAACCAAGATTAAATCGACGTGACTGCTTTCATCGAGATAACACTTAACTCACCTGGAGACAATTTTTATTCATGGCGGTCAAGACCCTGCACACCGTAACACAACCAAGTGAAAAGCTTCTCTAAAGCTTTTTCTTTCTATGTCTCTGCCTATCAGTTTAGTTTTTATTTGTTCTGCTTTAACCTGTGTCTAGAAATGTGAGAATATTTTACTTGCTTTGTAGTTTAAACAAATCGATATTTATACGTAAAATTTGATAGTTGGGGGTTGAAATCCTTTCGGACACCGTGCTAACAAGTGAAGCAGCCAGAAGCTACTGGCTGCTCCCGGTCCCAGTTTCTCACACTGCTGCACATTAATACCAAGAGTGTAAATAAACCCAGTACTTACTCCTGACACCAAAACCACTGTGAGCCTCCATTTCTATAGAAGTTGGTGGTATATGGTAGAACAGATTTGATGTTAGCTTTGGGGTTGCGGGGGAAAAACACAGAGTGATTTACTACTCACAATGTGTAAAGGCGAGAAACTCCACTGATGTCACTGAATGTTGTCAACCTAGCAGAAAGCAGTATTTTATCCAATGCTTACCAGAGGCTGAAAGAGGAAACGATGTATTATTTTTGCAAGAACAGCAATAATTTAGGTTGTATCTTTGTAAATGCTCTCAGTAATGTAGGTGACCTACCCAGGGAGGCATTAGGAGTTTGGGATTTTTCTCAGGGCTTCACAACAGTGTAGTAGTTTGAGTCGAATGTGGGATCGTAATATTCAAAGCTTGTTCTCAAGCCAGCTAGAAGCCATGCTAAAGGATCCTACCACAAATTTTCTTGCAAAAATGTGTAACTTACTTTTAGACCGCTTTCTTAGACATTTCAGCTGTTTCCAACCACTTTCTTCTGATTTAAAATGTGTTCTTAACTGGTGTTGGGTGGAACAAAATTTTTCACAGCTGTTTTGTCTAACAGCCTTTTTGGTCCCTGGCCTGATGAATGACGTGAGGAACCTTTGGGGAGTAACACTGCCATTTTTGTATGGCCTTACCGTCCCCTTTACCTGCGTATTGGGGTCTTTTGATGCCGCCAGGCCTTAAGGGGTGCTTCACAGCGCGCATCACCGCTGCCCTGTTTTTCTTCGGTATTGATCGTTGCAGGGCGAAGGGAGGGGGAAATGAGATGAAACAGCAATCCCCCAAACGCATCCCTCGCCCTGGCAAGGGCCCCGAAGATGG